GTCACAGCGAGTGTTCTTTACACTTGTCATCTGAAATTATTCCTGCTCTTAATCTACACAGTTTAAAAATTGTGAAGGAGGTGATGGCATTTTCTATAAGCCAACAGAAAAGGGGAAAGAAACATTAAAGAAGATGTTATTAAAAGCATATGTCATTGTCACACTTCAGGCMCTGAAGGATTTCTGAGGCTGTTATGGAAAAGGCAAACTTCATTCTTGATAAAGAACAAAATGTTAACTTGCTGTCAGATAAAAATCTACAGYATCTGTTGAATTCACATAACTTAATGCTAAAGCAGACCTCTTTCTGTCTAAATTACAGCYCTCTTCAGGTAGTGAAACAGCGCATCCTCTCATATATCTGTGGTAAAATTAGTCACATAATCATATTGTGACAGCTTGGAAGGAGGAGGACTCAGGAAATAGAAAAGCAGTTTAAAATTCTTATTGAAACAATTTCTTTTTGGAAGACAGTGGCACGCACTTTGCAGAAACAATAAAACTATTTCCCTGAGGAATCTGATATTTTCCAATGGCTCAAAGAAAGCTCACATTTGTTCAATCACGTTGTTGGTAAGGACTATGAAGGTKGCTGAGTCCACTCTCTGCCTGAGAGCTGCTGTACCTGTGCCAGCTCTGACTGGTGCTGCAAGCTCTTCTTGTAGAGCCTGAGACTGGGGGCTGCACAAACACCCAGCCAATCTGCTTCCTATCGATTTAATTTTTATTTTGTAATCTTCTTGCTTTGTTTCCAACCTGACCCATCCTTGATTGATCCACTATGGAAACAGACAGTGAATTCATCCTTTCATCTTTACAGCATTTTCATCTATCTGATACACATTCATATCAGTACTGCATAAATATGTATGTTTATCCTTCCATTTTCTCCCTTCAACCTAAATCCCTGTTGTTGGGTTTTCTTTTTTAATTTCCTTCTAACACATATTTTGTTGATACCTAATCATTTCAATTGTTCTTTTCTGCTCTCTCCATGGGCTACATATTTACTGGAGCCAATCAGACCATGGCTACTAAGTAAATCAATAAACTCTTTGGCTGTTTGCCGAAGAGTCTGCCCTTCTTGTTCTGTATTGTTTTATGTGGTTTAACTTTCTCACTGCAGCTCTGTGACATTGCCCCCTATGTATAGAATGTGATTCACATAACAACAGAACTTTTTCTTCTTCTTTTCTTTTTTCAGTCATGTAATTGCAGCTTTTTTCCCTGCAGAACACCCAGTAGTTCCCCCTTTCCTGTTTGTATAGCTGATCGCATCTGCCACTSCCAGTAGCAGGTACTTGTCCCTGTTGAATAGAACCCTCTTTTTCCAAACCAAATCACTAGTGTGCAAAAATCCTTCTAAATCCAACATCTGTCCTCCAGCATGCTAAAGCCTCCCAGTYTGGTATAATCTCCAGTTATGTAAACATGTTTTCTGAACCATCGCTGAGTTCATTAACATCCTTCTGACAACGAGCCGCTTGGATCAGCTCCCCAAATAACTTCTTCGACATTGTTTTCCTTGTTTGCTGCAAGAATATCATATGAAACCATGTCAAAAATCTTCCTAAAGTGACATCCAACATGACCTTCCATGTTTCTCCTCSGCTGAGGATTCCTCTTACTTTGTTGCAGGAGAGATTAGATTTGACATCTTTTGTTCTTGACAAAGCTGTGTTGGCTGTTACTTGTTGTGTTACAACTGCTYAAAGACAGCTTGTTTACTTGCTCCAGTATCTTTTCTGTCTCCTGAGGTCAAACATATTGGTACACAATATCGTCTTTTCTTCTTTCCTTTTCAACAATACAATTTATCCCCTTCTGTCCTGTAATATTCCTTCACTGCATATTTTCAATGATAACCATTAGTTTTCATTATCCAGTCCTTTAAATCCAGCTGATGGAAAAGCAGCAAATTTTGTTKGAATATTTTCTCCCTTGGTCCTTCGATTGTCAAATCTGAAATCTGTCTGTTTTCCCAATTATCAATAATGCCATATATATATGTAAAATTTAGATGCAAAAGTATTAAGAAGCTTGAATATCTCAGTGTTGTCTATTAAAAACTTACTAGTTCTGCTTGATACTGGCATGATCACTTGCTTGATTATTTTCTGTGTTAAATAATGTACTAAAATTATTTCATGTTACCCCAAATATCCCTTGCTAGTTGTTTCTCATTTTCTGCTGCCTTTTCTGACTTTGATCCCTGCATGAACAAGCAATGCTTTTGCAGCTCCTCCGAGTAACCTGACCCAACTTCTCTTTTCTGTATGCTTCATTACTATCTGAGGCTCAGGAAGAGCTTGGACAGGCAGGCTGATCTTTTACTCTGCCCGTTGCATTTTCTGCATGGATAGTTCATTCACTTATACCCTTAGTGGTGTTTCTTTGGGGAAGTGACAGCTCCTAAACATTTATTTTTGTCTGCATCAACCTCCCAGAACACCATGTTGACCACCTGGAGAACTTCATGGGAGCCTACCTCCATAAAATGTATTTTTTTGGTGTGTGGTGTGTATTTTGATGTTTTTGCTTCTTTCTAAAATCAGAATCCCCTGCAAAAAACTCTGAAGGTATACATTTATGTATACATATACCCATATATTTCTACATACATACTTATACATGCAGGCATACGCGTCTCTCTCTTTCTCTTTGAAGATCACTGAGAACTTAAAAAATGGGTGTTTTTTCTGACCCAAATATTTCAGTTCAATACCTACAAAAGAAATGAAAGATGATGAGTGAGCCACCAGAAAACAAGCTCATCATTCTACTGGAAAATAGAAGGAGCCAGGATTTCTCCTTCTTTTTCTAGTCATCCAGTAAAGAAATTTTTTGCTTTACATCAGCTACAGCTTGTAAGTGAAGGACACATTAGAAATGCATTTGACTCATGGATTAGAAGAGAGTGTTTAACGTTTCTTCTATCCTGTGCTTTTTAYTGGTGATGTACCTTGTGACATTTATTCTTATGACTATGGTTTATTCTGCTTCCTCACATCGGGGGTCCAAGGAGCAGGATTGTTGTTGGCTGGGCTTCCTGATTTCAGCCTTCTGGGAAAATGATGAGCAGGTACAGGACTGCACCACATCATGTTTGATGGCTCTGCAACAAAGCTGTAGAAACCAAAGACACGGTGTCCCACTGGTTCACAGGGAACACATTCCTCAGATGTTGTATCTAGCACTGGCTTGGCTTTAAAGAAAAGCTTTAAAATATGTTTTCATTTCCTCTGTGTCTCACGGGGACTCATTCTGTGACATTTGGCACATTTCTGTATCCATCATCATGATGAACATAATCTCTCATTTTTCTGCAAAAGTTCAATATTACAGGGAGGGGAAAATATTTAAAATTAAAAGCAGCATTCATCTGCATTGGTGATGAGCATAACACACTTCATTATAAAGGCTTTCTGTAAGCATCTTTCAGTATTACATTTTCTTTCCCTTGTGTATTTTAATCACTTGGATTAGCATATTTTTACTTGTTTCTTTCATGTTGTCTAAAYATTAAATATTTATAATTATGTCAAGGACTCATTTTCCTTGTTTCTAAAGAGTCATTTACTGCTTATGAGAGTGCTTTAAATAGTAGTAACTTGCAGTATATGCATAGTAAAGTAGGCTGTATGAATTTCACTTTCATATAGAAGAGTTTGCAGGAGCTTGGGTATATATCTGGGGTTTCTTTTTTGTGGTTTTTTTTTTCATTAAAAGAACTCTTAGAATCTCACTTTCATGACAGCATAATTTCGTATTTAAGATTTCACTTCCAAGGGAATCTAAGTAGTTAAGATGAAACTTGGGCACAGACTCCTCTGAATGCCGGTAGTATTTAAGATATGATTTTTTACCAGTTATACTACACCTGCACTCCTCTTGGGGTCTGAATTAAAATCCCCAAAGCTTATAAAATGGGAATGCACCCTCCCAAAAAGTCGAGGAAGCGTTTTTCCTATTCTATAGTACTTCTAAGCGTGGATGTCTGTAAAGTAATTGTGTGGTATTTCCCAAGTGGCTATGCAGGGATTATAACGTGCGTTATAGCTGTTATAAGTGTTTCTATACAATCACACACACACTGATCACTGGTGCAGCATTCAGGGCGCTGTTCACGATCGCTGCCGGAGCGATGCCGGCCCCGCACGGCCTCAGCTTCCCTCAGGAGCCGCTGCCATCCATCCCTCATGCCTTTGCAGGCGTTCACTGCTCACAYCTGTGGGAGGTCTCCCACACAAACACCTGCCGAGGGCTCATTTTCCTCCTCACAAGSCGCGCCCGCTCCCCGCGCTCAGCAGCCCTCGCCCACCGTCCCTCGCCGGGGTCCCGCAGGTCCCGCTCTCCTGCCGCAGGTCCGGGAGCAGCGCGGGGACAGCGACGGCACAGGGATGGCGGGCGTGTGGGGATGCCGGTGGGGTGCAGGGATGGCGGGCGTGAGGGAATGCCGGTGGTGCGGGGATGCCGGGGGTGC